CTCGGGCTCGCTCCCCACAAGCCGAGTGGCGAAGAGTCGCCGAGCCCTCAGGGACTCGCCGCGCTCCGCGCGGCCGTCACCTCTGCGCCTCTCCCGCGGCCGGGCCCCCCCACGGAGGAAGGGGGGGCGTCCAGCCCAGGCCGCCAGGCTCGAGGCGCGCTGAGCTCTGCGTCCCCCCCCCCCCCCAGGCACGGCAGAGGGGCGCGGTCGAGGACTGGCAGCTAAGCGTCACCTGAATGCGACAGCGGGAAAGGGAGGGACCGTGGATGGACAAAAAAGCGGAACCCGTGACTCTGCCACCTCCCCTTCCCCCCCACATTCCAAGTTGTTCCCAGACGTTCAAGAGCGCAGGCTTGGAGGGACAAAAAAAGTGGAACCCCCGGGGCCTCCACCACGCCGGAGCCCAACTTTGAGTCGGGGGGAGGGGGGGGGGGGGGACGAGCATGGTGTCGACGACGAAGGGATTCCACTTGTTTGTCCCCTTTCCGAAGGCTTTCCCAGTGCACCGCTGCAGCCCAAGACCCAAAGGCCGAGAGGCTGGGGCTGGGCTGCAGGGCAGCAGATGCAGGCATCGCCCGGCGGGGGACGGTCTTGGCGGGTGGCAGGCCCCGACAGAGCCGCCGCAGGACGGCCAGGCGAGGGAAGAGCAGCCAGGAGGCCAGGAGGAGGAGCGGAGTGCTGCGCCTGTCCGCGGATGCGTGAACCAGAAGAGAGCTCTGGCAACACCCGCCCAAACCATCCGCCAGTTCCCCTCTCCGCGTTACCGCGCCCCCCACGGGGGAAGAGGTCCCGCCCCCGGGCTGCCACGAGCAAGGCCAATGAGGAACGAAGGAGGCAAGTTCTGGCCACAACGCCGAGCTAGGCACGAATAGGGCTAACCCAGCTGGTGGTTTGAGGAGCGGGCGAAACCAGAGCCCTCCTGAAGCCCACAGTTAATGTTGCATTCGGCGTTGGCCGAAGAGGGGGGGTTAAAGGGGAGAGGGGAAAGAGGGGCTCGAGGCAGCGCTTGCCTCGCTGGCACTTCCCGCTAAGACCCTCCTCTGCTTCTGCCGTAGGCCGTCGGACCACCCCCTCCTCCCCGACTACAATGTATGGCATATCTGTGCCGGTCGCCTCTTCTCTGCCGGCCGTCCTCCTCTCCTCCCCCTCAGCCTCCTCCCCCTGCCTCCTCCTCCTACTGCCTCCTCACTCACTCCTCATCATGTGCGCCGCCTCCGACTCCTTCTCCTTACGCCTCCTGCCTCTCCTCCTACTACTCATTATCATACCTGCCTCCTCCTCTATTATTCCTCCTCCCTCCTCCTCTCAATCCCCTCCCTCCTCCTCCTCCTCCTCCTCCCACTCCTCCTCTCCTCATTATCCTCCTCTCCTCCTCCTCCTCCTCCTATTACTCTTCTTCTTCTCTCTTCCTCCTCCTCCTCCTCCTCCTCTTCCTCCTCCTCATCCTCCCCCCTCCTCCTCCGCCTCCTCTCCTCCTCCTACTCCTCCTCCTCCTCCTCCCTCCTCTCATCCTCCTCTCCTCCTCCTCCCTCCCCTCATCCTCCTCCTCCTCCTTCCTCCTCCTCCTCCTCCTCCTCCTCCTCCTATCCCTCTCTCCTCTCCTCCTCTCCTCCTCTCCCCTCTCCTCCTCCTCTCCTCCTCCCTCCTCCTCCTCCCACCTCCTCCTCCTTCCTCCTCCCCTCCTCCTCCTCCCTCCTCCTCCCTCCCTCCTCCTCCTCCTCCTCCTCCTCCTCCTCCTCCTCCTCCTCCTCCTGCCCTTCCTCCGCCTCCTCCTCCTCCTCCGCCTCCTCCTCATCCTCCTCCTCCTCCTCATCCTCATCATCATCATCATCATCATCATCATCATCATCATCATCATCATCATCATCATCATCATCATCATCATCATCATCATCATCATCATCATCATTTTCTCCTCTTATGTTTGCCTGCCATGTTCAACCTCCTAAACCTCTATGGTGCGGCTTGCCCAAACATTGAGCCATGCGCGTGCTGCGGAGGGTTTGCGTCATCTTCCGCTCACTCGACCACTTGCCAGACGAGATGGAGAGAGTAAGAGCAACTGCATGTCCTCCCTCCCGTCCAGCGAGCTCTAGTTCACCATCCCAGCCATACGGGTAAAATCTGTCGCTCTCCAGGACAGCCTAGCCGTTACTTCGAATGGCGAAGCATGCCCTTTACGCACGTTGATGTTACCCATAGCGTGTTTGCTGACAACAACGGCGATTCGAATGAACAGATGGTGTGACTCTCGTGCCCCAGAGACAAGATGACAACTAAAATGGAACTTGCATGGATTGCTCACTGTTCCGTATACATTGTGAAGCTTGCTGCGTGTGCCCTGGCTGTCTGCTACCCAGACGGCAACACTGATTCAAGGCGCAAAAGCCAATCCCCAGAACATCCCAAAATGTTGAACGGGCACCACCAAAATACGATTGATCAAACTGCTCCGATCGGCAGCGGAAACTGTCCCTTACCTGTGCGGTCGTTCCTCTAAGCCCGCGAACTGCAACACATTTCACCGCCCCCAGTGCGCGAGCACGTCATGTCCGCTCGCAGAAGAAGCACCAGCCAACCACACATGCAGGAGGAGACCACGATTAACTCAGCGGCCAGTGAAACGTGGCGCAATGAGAAATCTCAAGTGGAAGAGCCAAGAGAACGACTGATTACGCACGACGGCGAGCCGAAATCACCTTACGCATGCCACCACCCCGGCACGCCGCGCAGAAAAGGGAGCCTCAAACCGAGACCTTGCGTTAAGTCGGGCGTGTCCCCCCACAGGCAGATGTTGTACGAAAAATAAAAAATAGTCCAAAATATTCAGATATAGTCAAAAAAGAATCAAAAAAATCGTCCCCTGACGACTCTTTTACTATTTCTGAATATCCCCCCTGTAGAGGGACAGGCCCGACTTAACCTTACACCGAGCCCTTGCACGGACAGCGCACGCGCGAGTGTCCGAGAAGACCAGCCCCCCGTCTCCTGCCCGGGCACACGCTGCCACGGCGGGGGCACTGGACAGGGAACGTGCCCAGGAGGCTCCAGACTCAGGTCGGGCGCGTCCCCCTACAGGCGGCTTTCGGACGAAAACTAAGAGAAAGTCGAAGAATGCCCAGGAAGGGCCCAAGATGGTCAACAAATCCTCCCCAGACTATGTTTTGCCTATCTTTGAATCTCCCTCCTGTCGAGGGACGTGCCCGACCTGGCTCCAGACCTTGGAGGGCTCCTTGTCTGATGAGGACGGCGGCGATGTCCGTGGCCAGTCCACGATTGGAGTTCCACCAGCTTCCAGACCCTGGATTCCTCATCCAACGCTTCCTTATCCAATGCCCCCACCGCTCGCCCGTGCTCCCGTCGTCGCCGTCGTCGCGTGTCGTCGTCGTCGTCGTCGACGCCGGCGTCGTGAATGAAATTCTATTCGCGGGCGTGAGCTGCGCCCTCGAGGTGAGAAAGCGTGGATGAGCAGGGACCCCTGAACTCGTCGCGTGGGCGCCAGATCCGTGCCTCGGGGAAGGCACCCCCCCGGAACACGAGGCCAGGGCCGCCTCCTGAGGCGGCCGAGCGCGACGCCTAAGGAACGGAGACAGGACCCGTCACTGCTCCACGCGCCCCTGCCCATGCGTGCGCTTCCTCGCGAGGCGACATCCGAACCTACCCCGAGGTCGGGCCTGTCCCTCTACGGGGGGATTCCTGGACGAACGGAGGAACAAGTAGCCCAAACATACCCCGCACTCGTCAAAAAGAGAAGCCACAGCTGTTGTTCTGAGGAGGAGGAGGAGGAGGAGGAAGAGGAGCTCGACCGCTCCGGGGGCCAGAAGCGGCAGGGGGCCCGCCCTCGGGGCGGGCGCCCTCCCCCCCTCCCCGAGACTGGCTCGCGCGAGCCCCCCGGACTGTTGCTTCGACTCTTCTTGCCCGGTCCCCCCGGCAGAGGGCCGGGCCCGACCCAGACCTGCCCCCACCGACTCCCTCCAGCTCCTCCAGCACTAACCGCTCACCCTCCGGCCCAGGGATCGTCCCCCGCCTCGGTGCCCGACACCCCCGCACCCACCGCCGCTGCCCAACCGAGCTGCTCCTGCTCCTCTCCTCCTCCTCCTCCTCCTCCTCCTCCTCCTCCATCCTCCTGCCCTCTCATCCATCCTGTTGCTCCCCTCCTCCTCCTCCTCCTCCTCCTCCTCCCTCCTCCTCATATCAGCATCATACACTATCATCATCAGCATCATCAATCATCACATCATCACCATCATCACAATCATCACCAATCATCATCATCATCATCATCATCATCAAACTTCGTCCGGTCGTCGTCGTCGTCGTCGTCGTATCGTGTCGTCGTCATCATCATAGCATCATCATCATCATCATCATCCGCATCATCATCATCATCATCATCATCATCATCATCCGCATCATCATCATCATCATCATCATCATCATCATCATCATCATCATCATCATCATCATCATCATCATCATCATCATCATCCTCATTTCTAGTCCCCTTTCCTCCTCTCTCCTGGCCGCTGGAGTCAAGAGGCCCAGCCTTGCCCACAAACCTCGTAGCCTCGTAGAAAAAAAAAAGAAAGAATAAAAGCCTCGGCAAGCGCGTTTTCGTCGTACACGGAGAACTCCAGCTTCCTGCCCGCCTGCACCGGAGGGCCACCGTATTGCGGAGACAGGGATGATAGCCGAGGCCCGCTTCGATTGTGGATAAGAGGCGTATACTCTTCCTCCTCCTGGTCCTCCTTCTCGTCCTCCTCCTCCTCCTCCTCCTCCTCCTCCTGCACCTCTTTCTCAACGTTGGCCAAACTTTACCCGAAACGGCTGTAGCGCAACGCGTACCAGCGCTGGCCAACACTGAGACGCATACCGGCTTGAACACATGACCCTGGTCCTCCTCCTCCTTCTTTACCTCCTCATCTTCCGTCTCCTCCTCATCCTCCTCTTCCGTCTCCTTATCCTGCTCATTCCTATCCTGATCCGACTCCCAATCATCATCCTCGTCCCAACTTGCTGAGATGGCGGCGGCCTTGAGAGAAAGGGTGGGCTGCAAAAGCACCGCTGCCCACGTCTGCCGTGCGCCGGGCAAACTCTGGCACGGGAGCCACGGCAAGTGATTAAGCGATGCGGCGGACGAGGCGGGACACTACAAGAAACACATTCACAAGCAAGAGAAAGCCATAAGTTGGAGGCTTGGAAATTGACACCAACACCAACACAGGGGGTTGCCTCAACCAGGGGAAGGTGATCCTAGATTTCGGTGTTGGTGGTAATCTTTCGGCCGCCTAGGAGGCCAGAATATTACCACCATCACCGAAATTGGGATACTCTTCCCTCGGTGGAGGCACAACGCCGATATTGGTGTTGGTGTCAACCTCTAGGCCTCCGAATAAGCACAAAAAGCAGCCGCGCGCCCTCCAGCGCCAGTGGTATCGACAGCGAGCCAGCCCCGCCGAGCCGAGCCGGACCACGGCAGGCCCACGAGCCGCCGCACCTGCTGGGGACGGCGGCAGCCAGGGAACGCCTGGCCGCCTTCTCCGAAGCCCGGCGGGTGCTCTTTCCACGCAGGTCGCCTCGGCAGCCCAGTGCGCGGCAGCGCCGGCGCGCGAGGGTTCAGTCGGGCCTGCCCTCCTAGAGGGGGATTTTCGACGAAAAATACAAAAATACCCGAAAAGTGCCCCAAAAAGGTCAAAAAACTACTCAAAAGATAGTCCCCCGACTATTTTTTTGACTCTCTTTGAATCTTCCCCCTGTAGAGGGGCAGGCCCGACTTCCACGCAGGTCGCCTCGGCAGCCCAGTGCGCGGCAGCGCTGGCGCGCGCCAGGGGGGCCAACGGCCCCCGGGAGCCGGGCCCGACGCAGAGAGGCACGCGCCTACGAGCGCCCACGGGCGGAGGAGGAGGGAGGAGGAGGAGGAGGAGGACGAGGGGAGGAGGAGGAGGGGGAGGAGGAGGAGGAGGAGGAGGAGGAGGAGGAGGAGGAGGAGGAGGAGCAGCAGGAGGAGGAGCAGCAGGAGGAGGAGGGGGAGGGAGAGGCACGCGGCTGGCGCACGGCAGGTGCGCGGCCAGCGAGCCGCCGTCTCGCCGACGTCGCAGGACAGCCGAGGGTAGGTTTAGGTCGGGCCTGTCCCCCTACAGGGGGATTTGCGACGAAAAATAAAAAGTACACCAACAATACCCCCAAAAAGGTAAAAAATACTCAAAAGATAATCCCCAGACTATTTTTTTACTATTTTTGAATATTCCCCCTGTAGAGGGACAGGCCCGACTTAGGGTGAGGTGGCAAATCATGGGAGCCTATGTCAGCACGCGTGGTCCTCGTTCTGTGCCATCTGGTGCTGCCTGGTGCGATTTGCGGCTGCTCAGCCCGACGTGCGGTCCACGCACCGGCGGTTCCTGTTGCGGCAACGTTGCGCTGCTGCGCTGCTCGTGTGCCCAAAAACGGCTCCCGTGATCTGCCACCTAGCGAGGGGAACATCTCCTGGCCGGAGGGACCCCTTCGACGCCTGCAGGCACCGAGGGCAAGCTGCGCGCCTCGCGAGCTGCGCGCCTCGCCCGCTGCTCCACCGCGCCGCTGCGGCCTGCCTCCTCCGGAGCGCGAGCCGAGTCCCCCTCGGGGCGGCAGCGGCGCGGTCCCCGCTGGTGCAGGGGCTCCCTCTGAGACCTCCTCCTCCTCCTCCTCCTCCTCCTCCTCCTCCTCCTCCTCCTCCTCCTCCTCCTCGTGCCGGCGCGGTCGGAAGCGGCCACGACCCCCGACGGGAGAGGCCCGGGCGGGGGATCGTCAAGAGCGGGGGAGGCGGAGGTCAACGACCCCTCCCATCCCCCCACCAGCTTCCCCTCCTTTTGAGCTCCTCTTCCCGTCCTCTCCCCTCCTCTTCCACTCCTCTCCACCCTGCTCGCCCCGTCCTCTCGGATCTGATCCCTGTCTTTCTCCTCCCCTCCCCAGCCATCGGCTTGCCGATGCCATACCATCAGGGCGGCCTCCCAATCTGCAACCACGCACTAGCACACTGGCACTGTCAAAAGCCTCTGCCCTCGTGATCCCGAATGCTTGCACCGCCGCCAATGCTCTGGCCAACCTGCGTACTTTGTCATGCTCGCGCCGGTCGACAAACGTGCTGGTGCTGCAGCCATGCCTGCTGCTGGCACTCCTGCGAGCAATAGCGCACCACTCTGCAGATGCCGCAATCGAATTTGGCGCCCTCTGCTCCACACGCATTGCAGAATCGTCTTGCCAGCAGTGGTCCCAGTGCGTCGTCCTCAGGGTACGCGGAGCGGAGAGCCTCCGAAGGCTCGTATACCTGACCGTTGAAGCGAAGAAACAGCTGCTGCACGGAAGGATGGCTCACTTCGCCAGGAACTCGATCAAGCTCCGAATTGTCGTCCACGATATATGTGGAGCCCCCACCGTGCACCAATATGGAATAATGCGGTTTGGACAGCCAAGGCTGCCGATCTCTTCGAAGTGATGGCCAACCTTTCGGCACCTTGGTGATTT